ACTTTCTGATATAACAGCCCAATTACTGATAAGAAGTCTGGACATTTTACTTTCTTTTCACAATATTCTTTCACTGATCTGAAGCAGTAGGAAGAACTTCGACGTCTTGTTTTATTTGTAGAATCACGCCAGCTAGGCTGTATCTCTTAGGAAAATATCTAATGGACAAATTACTGTCAAATGAATCATTGGAGCAATTTGGTATCTTTATTGACAATTTCTACAATGATAACTGAAAGGATGGTTTATAATAGAAAAAGCAGCTTGAATTCCCTTTAAATTAGCATTAAGTTTCTAATTTGTGAAAATGTATAAAAGAAATAGTTTGTTTTAACCAAGCCCCTGTTTTGTTACCTGATTAATACATATCAAGGCTAACAGCAGGAGATGTTCACTTCTCCAAGTCACCTGATCTCACGTCTCGTATTACCGGAGGTAAAATTAATTATGACCTGTGTGTATACGTTTCCCCTCACCCCATTGTTCTGTTTTAGGCTTGATGAGAATCGTGATTCTGCCCACTTTAACACAATTCATATTGTTCACTGGATTACCAAGATTCAACATTTATTTATCATTATATTCATCCTTTTTAGGAGAACCACGTGCAATAAAAATTGCTTAATATAACAAAGTCAAATAGATTTTTTTGTTTAAAGTGCAATTTCTTTAAAATCTTACATGAAACATGTAAGTAACTTTATCTTCTACATCGACGAATGATATGACAAAGGTAGACAAAGATTCTTTAATGAGTTTTTTTTCAAGATAGTATTTTTTTTAATTCTATGATATATTTATATTTATCCTTCAGTGGAATTGTTTTAGTGGTAGCATTGAACTTTTGTTGTATTGTACGAATTCCGCGTCTTGTCGCACTTCTAGGTATTGGAGCCTTGAAAGAGGTAAAAAGACTTAATGATGTTAAAATGATGCTTCGTATAATTAAGTGGAACACGCAAATCCCATTAAAATTGATCACGAATCTCCTATCCTTCGCATTTGAGAAAAGAAATGCACACAATTGCAGAATAATGGAATAAATTTATCAATCTGAAGAGAAATACCTTGACTTTTATAACTTTGATAGCTTTAACGAATTTTCTTCATCAAATCAGATAAATGAAAGATGATTTTAGATACGGTCTACTTTTGAATTAACTGTATCAATTTTATCGAAATTTGAATAAAACATGAGAGTTAGCATTTTGTAAACATTTTCAGACAGATGGGCGATGGCCACTTGACCTCCTATAATATTTCACCAGTGGAGCTAAAACTGATGTAATTTATAGAACCTTTAGAGCACAGAGGTGAGACTATAAATGGAAGACTTGTTTCCTATCGTTCAATGAAGCTAAACACTTAACTAGAAGTCCGAGAAACCTTAGTAACATTGGTTGAACGAAGCAATAGTAAATACCAAGTTGTTATGAAAGAAGTATATAGATTAAAAAGTCACGTTGATGTTAAAATACATTTACATTATCTCAAAGCTGTATATCTAGTATATAATGAATTTTGTAGCCAGTAGAATGCCAACTACGATTCATTAAGACTGAAATATGGAAACAAAATACGTCATACGTGCAAATCTGAATGAAGAACCTGGCAAGATTAGAGTCCAATACTGCCTCAATCATTGTCCATTTCTTCCTCTCATCATTCTGTTTAACGGTCGTCTTCAAGCTGTTTTTCCTGCTTGTGTCTGATTTTGATGGAAAATAAAATATGATTTATACAGAAGAAATGAATCATTCTCGTCGTCCGAATTTTAAATCGATGAGTTATTGTCATAAATATGCACTTGTATCAATTTATGAGTGAAGGAAGGAAAATAAACTTTAGGTCTGAATAGTTACACATTTGCAAAGAAAACAAATATCATACCGAGACCCCCCCCCCCAAATATATGAAAATTTCTTGGTTATTTCAGCTAAAAGGCTTATAGGATGATGAAATGCTAGTAGAACCGTGCATACTTGGAACAGATATAGACTAAAATGTAGACATTCAAGAATTGATAGCATAATTATTATTAATCGTAAAGGTGTGGTTCTGCAGAAATATGTACAAATTCTTGGTCCTAAAATTCCTGACAGCTGTTACCGGGTCAATAAATGTATTGATCTGCGGCTCATATCAAAGCAATATAAGGGTTTTTAACATCTCATGTTCACAGAGATCAAATTAATCAAACTAACACTCACTCGGTCAATCCTAAGGATTTACAGAGATACTTGACAGATAAAACATTAAATCCGATAGCTCAACAGAGCACTTACATCTGTAAATGATGCTAAGACAAGCTACATTCTCTCTGTGTTTTATATAGATTTCTGGTCGTTCATTGTATTTTACGAGATAAGAAGAAGTATTAAAGAGTATTTTGAGAGCAGTAAGATCTTGGAACAAATACAGGATTAAATCAATGATCTTTATGGTATCTAATTATGTCACTGTAGTGTTATATTAGAGCATGTGAGAATTAATCATGACCTGTGTATACGTTTCCCCTCACCTCATTGTTCTGTTTTAGGCTGGTTAAGAATTAAGAGATGAGAAAAGTTAGGCGCAGGTGTAGCGCTAGCTGGCCTATGGATTTCGTAGTAGACAGAGAGGCCACCACACATAATAATGAAGGAATTTTCCAAGATTTCATGTTGAGTGATAGCAGATTTATTAAACAGTTATGAACCTTATTAAAATCAAAATTTAACATGTTTTCGAATTTCATCAAATTAGTTAAACAATGCAATGGTTACCTAATAGAGTTGATGATCAAATAATCTGTCATACACATAAAGGTAGCTTGAACAAAGTCAATTAACCGGATAGGTTAATATCTTATTGGGACATACTTTTGTAATAAATATAGCACGCCTTTATTTGGACATACGTCTGTAATTAAGTATTAAATTATTAATTTAGAAAAAAGGCAGGCCTTTAAGTTTAAAAAGCGAATTCAATGAAATGCGGTTCCCCGCTTTCGGTGTCTTAATGGTTGAGATGCCATTATTTGGACACCAGACATATGTCGTTCAAAAGTATCACCAACATTAATTATTTTTAAATTAGGTCAAACAAGGTCAATGGGTCAAAAATCATAGTATTCTCGGACACTTCTTGTAACAGGTAATGCACATGTCAAATATGAGAGCCTTATCTCTTCTCAATTAAAAGTTAAGAAAATAACATGTTTGGAAAAAAAGTCAATGTCAAGGTCACGGGGTCAAAATCATAGCATTATTAGAAAAACCTTATCTAAATAATGTACATGTGTAATTTGAAGGCTCTATCATTTTAAGTAACGTTAAAATGTTTGAAAAGTAGGTCAAACCTCAATGTCAAGGTCACGGAGTCAAAAATCAAATCATATTTGGAAAGCTCTTGTCACAGGTTATGCACCTGTGAAATACGAAAACCACCTCTTCTCATTCAGAAGATATGACCAAGGTTAAAGGTTTTTTGTGACAGACAGACGAATGAGATTTTATATGTCCTCTCACTTTCGCGAAAGTGGGGACAAGAAATAAGCCAATACTTTCTTATAGTAGGTGAAAGTGTATTTTATATACATACTGTTGAAACAGTAACATTTGAACTCACCCTTCAGCCAGAATTCTCATTATTTCTTCAACATAAAGTTTATGCCATCGGAGATACAATGTCGTAAATTCAAAAGTACTTAAATTGTTCTGATTGTTTTTATCGAGGTATCAACAAATTATGTAAATGATATCGAATTCACACATGTATTGATGAAGAGGTGAAGATGACCAAGGTGTTTTTGATTTCCTCTTGTAAATCAGACACTTTATATAACACCTGTACATAATTCATTGATAACGCAAAGTAAAAAGAGTTTTACCTCTTCGCAGATAATTTATTTAGAAACTTACGAGTCAGTGAGTATGGGTCTGCTTTTTATGCCTTTATTTGACTCCTATTATCACATTCTGTTTAGTTAATTATGGATATTGATGTACTTGTGTTAGAGACCTAGCTTATCTGTTATTTCTTTTCTGCGGTCATTAATTCTCATCCTGCACGCGGCCGATGTAAAACAATTGAGAAGTTTCTTCTGATGGCTATCGGCTCTGAAATCTTAAGGCATTAATTATAGATTTGTTCTAGGCTGGGAGTTGAAATGAGAATTTAGTTCTGTGAATACCTGCAGTCAATTTGACGGAAATTAAAAAATGACAATGCAAAATCTCAATTTGTTTGGAAAATCTGCAGAATTGTTGAAAAAAGCACAACTGCATGTTAGAGATATGTAATTTATATCTTTTTTCTTCAGTTATACGAACGACCTTGTATAATTTATAAAACGTAGACGTCTGACGTTTTGAACTGTGTGGAGAAATCTTACTTTATACTTTCTGAGAGTTTGCTTACATAAAAAATATAGATGGATTAGGAGCGCTGTTGCATGACTCGATTTAGATTATGTACTAGACTTGCTCAAGTCTTGATGTTGTGCTCTCTTGAATACTTTTTAGAACATTTCATTACGGTAGAGAGCGGAGGAAACAATATAAAAATCAACAATAAAAACATAGAGACTTAAACAAGTATAGTTATATTTAAGTGTATGTATCAAAGTCTGATAAAGTTTGTTTGAATGTAATATAGAGGAGAGACGGTAGGGGACAGGTGACCCCTGATAAAGTTAACTTGCTATTCCTCGGGATACATATATCCGTTATAAATATTCCAGTATATACAGTTAACTTAGTAAGGCTTTAAGTCAATGAATATGGAGATAACAAACAGAAATCAATCTCAAACGTCAATCAAAACAATACAAATAGGGAATAGAATAAACAGGGACTTCAGATCAGGTGCCATGGAGGAGTAAGCATCCCCTGTCGACGGTCCCACCTGCTGCTTGCTTCTTGTCATGACGATGTAATATGCATTAAGAATGAAATGTTTTCGTTGAATATATACAGAAATCTGTTTATAGCTATATATATGCTATTTATACATTGTAGGTACAGAAGTCTGAGAATTTCGTCCAATCTCCTTGTACTAAATCTGGCAATAACGGACACCTTTCTCGCCCTTGGAAACCTGCCTTGGTTGGCGATATCCAGTTTTCGGGGATATTGGATTTTTGGATATATAGGTTTGTTGACAAATAAATAGTTCGAGCTGTCAGTGTTTATGTCTCGCCTTTAAGATATTGTACCTTGATATATTTCGTTATTCAGGAAGTAGGAAAGATTAGATAGAAACTTGGTGAATCCCTTGTTGGCATGTCAAAAGAATGTTCGACTCAAGTGGGTATATAAAGGCAAGGATTATGACTGTCTAATAAAACAATCGTTTGAAGTATAATATTTAAGTCGATATCAAGCATTCATACTAGCTGTTGAATTTATAAGAACAAATCCTTGTGAAGTTTAGATATAAAACTAATTACTTAAATTCAATTTTCGAAAGTTTTGTTTTGTCAATTTTACGGCACCGGGCATCTTTCGGCAGAAAAATACAAAAGGAAGGAATATTCATTAGCAATTTGTTCTAAGATTGAACTCGAACGATAAAAATCCGTAACTGTAAGTGAGACAGACATTTTACCATTTGACCTCGATTTTAATAGCAGGTGTTGGCATTGAGTGACCTTCGAATATTTTGAAAAATATTTTTCCACCTTATTTTCGAACAGTTAAGCTAATTTATTGATTTTTTGGTTTTGCAAAAGTGCAAATGCATTTTGGCCTTTAAATTATTCTTTTAATATACCGACTGTAGAGTGAAAGTTTGCACCTAGTACTCGTATATACTGTTTATTAATTAAACAATGTGATGGAAATACTGAGCTAAGGTACAAAAAGTTTTGAATTAATTAAGTCGACTTTTGTGTGTGCATAAGAAAAAATATATATGAAATTGCATCAAACAGTATAGATTGTACGGCAGGTATATATAAAAGTGATCTTGTTGTAAGATTGCAATTTTTTATATTTTACACACTGAATTGTCTTAGGATTTTTCTACGTCTTTTCCCGAGCATAACAAGGAGCACACGGCGGGTGTGACAGGTCGGCAGGGGATGCTCACTCCTCCATGGCACCTGATCCCACCTCTGATGTTTAAGTTAAAGGTCCGTTTTGCTCTGCTCCTGATTTGTATGGTTTGATGTTTATCTTGATTTAAAAGACAAATATTTGACAAATATTTTCTGCTTTGTTATCTGTTATCACAATTGTTTATTATCTAAATATTAGATTCGAGAACTTCTTTGTATAAGGAGTGTGTCAAACATTAGCTTTAATAGAGATTTGAAAGAAGAAACAAGTATTTGAGTTACCGTATGTGAAGTGAAAAATTCATTAAAACATACGCTAACTACTTTGAAACAAATTGTGAAAATAAAGAAAAATTGTGAAAAATCGAAACTCGTATGAATAGATGATACCACTGTAAAGGCACAGAGTCCTGAAAATCGAAACCATATGCTTTGATGCAAATTAAAGAAGTAAAATTTTTCTGTGGCGATAAGCGATTGACACGCCCCCTAACGAATACTTTGAAACAAGTTACTGATTCACATGAATCAAAGACACATTTACAAGTTTGACATGATAAAAGTGAATTTATAGTCTGAGCACTGGACATGACCAATATATAAATGTATGATTTATATAAGATTCTAATTATTTATTTGGAAATAACGAACAGTATTCAAGTTCAATAATCCTTTAAGCAATACAAATTTAGAGAGAGTAACCACGGACCTCCAAAACGTCAGAGGTGGGATCAGGTACCATGGAAGAGTGGGCATCCCCTGACGACCGGTCACACCCACCGTGTGCTCCTTGTCATGATCGGGAAATAACGAAAAATAAGTCGACAATTCAGTGTGCAAATAAAAGCTTAACAATTAGTATATAATCCCACGTTCTGTCTCATTCTTACATTTTTAAAAATATAACTCCTCTTTTATCATAGGTTGCCAGGTGTATGGATTCATCGGAGCGATGGCTGGATTTATTTCAATAAATACCTTGACAGTGATCGCCATGGAGAGATTTTTCGTTATTGTGATTCGTATGCCATGGAAGCAAGTCAAGACCTCCAGTAAGACAGTCGGTGTAGCTATACTATTTATCTGGCTATATTCCTTTATGTGGGCTAGTTGTCCGTTAATCGGATGGGGATCTTTTATTCTCGAAGGTTCCATGACGTCCTGTACATTTGACTTCTTTTCTCGCGATGTGAATAACAAATCGTACGTGGTTTCCATTCTTGTTTTCTGTTTTTCAATTCAGCTTTTCCTTATTATTTGCTCATATGTCAGAATTTACCTCAAAGTTTTAAAGCACGAAAAAGAAATTGTCAGCTGGTGTAGCAGTGGAAATGAATCTTTATCATTCCATAGCCGGAGAATCAAAAAGTTCCAGAACGTTCATATGAAGACGGCTAAAGTTTCTCTAGTGATTATTTCTATTTTCTGTATATCTTGGACACCCTACGCCATCATTGCCACGATCGGAAACTTTGGTGATGCCAGTGTCATTACGCCGCTAGTGTCTTCGGTGCCTGGAATTTTCGCCAAAATCTCCACAGTACTCAATCCAATGATATACGCCTTACTCCATCCCAAATATAGGAACAAACTCCCATTCCATAAGCAGAAAATACGAAAGATCAAAAGTGATTTCAAGGATTTAATGAAATTAGACAATGAAATGCAAACATCTTCTGGTCGATCAGACACATTTTATCGCAAAGAATTCCATAGAGAAACGGTCGTGTAACTCATTATTTAATATTCCTGGATATTTGTGAATTCTGTTCAGTCTCTTGAAAAGATAATTTTATTTTCATCCTTTCTGGAAAAAAATATGTTGTTTCATTTTAAATATTTGTTTTTACATTTCAGTGAACTATAGAAATATGTATTTTTATATTAAATGTTATATTAATTTACTCTTTAGTAAAATTTTAAGAATCACTAATGAATGCATGTGAATGAATATCATCGAGTTGGACCTCTTTGATGGGTTGAAGACTATGTACATGACAGACAGTTTGATGATATTGCATCAGTTAATAATAAACAACGCCACTCTACCATGCATTCATTGTTGAATGTTGAGAGCTGAAAATCACAATCATTTTCGCATAAGAAGAAAAATTGGTAATTATTCGACTAAAATATTGAATGGTCGCCCGCGTGACCCAGTGGTAAGAACATCTGCTCTAGAGTTACGAAGTAGGGAGTTGATCCGTATAAACCGATGTCCCGTGTCCCAGTAGGTGCTGGCACGAACAAAATCCTCACTGCTGAATGGCCGTAAGTGGCGAGTACAGGACAAAATTTCCAGCTCTCCGCAGGCAAGTGGTGGCGTCTTCATATATGTGAAAAAATCCCCAGACGGACATTAAAGAACAAACAAAATAATATGGAATGTTATGGTTACATATTTCTGACACCTCTTGTACATGTAGTTGACAAAACATTTCTCCAAGTCGACATAAATGAACCCGTCAACATAAACATTTGAAAAGTCCAAATAATATCTGACAGGTATAATAAAATTCCACTAAATAGGCATTACCTTACATCTTAAAACTCGATACAATGTATCGTCTAAAAAGTCCTTGTCAATAAAGAAATCGACTTTAATTGAGATAGCTAAGTTGATTCAGATAAATTTGACGACTTGTCAGAAATAACTTCCTAGTGAATTGTCAGATAAATATGACTTGTTGGTAATTATTGAGTATACAAAATATTTGACCGCTTTTTTGTGTTCATAAACTACTAAGTTGACATTAATATCTGACGAGTCGACTTATGCATTTGACTAACAGTGGCAGTAATACTGTATGCCGTCATAAATTCTCAAGATTTCTTTCAAATGTATCAGAAAATAGATTTTTTAGTTACAAAGAAAGCTGCTTTATCAGTTGCCTATGAAATGTTCTCACCGCATACATTACGTAATGCGATTACCATTAATACGGGTTTTATTTTCTTGAAAGCTCAGTGTAATGTATAGAGTCATGTTCGTGCTTTGCTAAGATTTTATTTCTTTGAGAAGACAGAGTTTGATAACACATTAGAAATTGGTGCTTGTTAATATATCTTGGTATTACAGAAAATATTCTCTCATATCTGCTTTAAAAACCACATCAAAATAACAAAGCCCTTTCGATATTTTCGTTATGGCACCATCACAGTAACATTTCCTTTGTACTGAATTATATTTAGGTTGAACTTGAAAGTTTTCTCCGGGTTTCAGCCTCAAGTTAATAACGTGAAATTGAAAAAGAAAGACGTGAGGTTGAACAGACAGTCCAAAATTATCCTGAATTATATTCAGTTTATAGAAAATCATTTATAACCAAGAACAAATTAAAAATCTTTTCAAATATATTTATCTATCCTTAAAAATGAGATTCGTTGACAAGGAATGGAGAAATCTTGTTTTTTTTTCTTTCAAGCTAAGTTAGGGATTACAGGCTAAAAAACAGTTTGATTAGGCTTCTCAAAAAAGTTACAAAATTAAAGATGTCGAATAGGTAAGATAATTCGCCAAAAAAAAAGTACGAGTCAGAGGAAAGAATTTTGATTTTTGTTATATATTTATCACGGCTTTTCGTTTGTAGCTGACATAGGTACATGTAGAATATTTAACCATATTCCAACCACAGGGGCCTGTAACATACTGTATTTGATTTTACGTAATCACTATATGTATACAAAAAGAGAAAGGGAAACAACGTCAGCTCGAATTTACACAGCGTCGATCTCGGAAATGACTCGTGTTTTCAATAAAATACCTTGCAGTTAGTGAAATAACGTCTTGGATCATTCAGTAATAATCACTCTTTAATAAAAATACCATCGCGGTCATTTAAGAATCGTGTAAGTCGTGTTTTGCAGATCCGATATCCTGTCGTGCAAGTGATGTACTTTAAGTCGTCCACTAAATTCGCTAAACATTGCATCCAATATTTAACGCGAGATGTGATTGGTCAATGGTGCTTTTCTAGAACAGATCTGACCAATCACGCTCCGCCTTTTACCAATCATGGGTTTTTCCAAAATGTCGTCTGTTCTGGGCTCGATCGTCTCTGTGAACGAAAAAAGCTACCGTATTTATTCAAATCGGAAATGTTGTACCTTTTAATTGCAATTAACAAAAGAAAAAGATGATTTTCGTGAACGCTGGATCTTTACTTTGTGTTTTCCATCTCCGGAAAGACTTCAAAACTGAAGAAAATGTGCTTATTTTGCCTCGTTTTAGTGGACGACTTAAAGTACATCGACTCGCACAACGGGATATCGAGTTAGTAATACCCAACTTAAACGCTATAAAAAGTAACGAGGTTTCTGTTTTAGTAAAGAATATTTATTGTAGTATGATTTCTATTATAATTTAATTGGCTACATTCTTTTTTCTATGAAATACGAAATATTTCCGAGATCGACCATGTGTAAATTCGGGCTGACGTTGTTTCCCTTTCCTTTTTTGTATACATGTATATATATAGTGATTACGTAAAATCAAAAACAGTATGTTACCGGCCCCTGTGATTCCAACCTTTAAATTTCTCTGAAACCTGAAGAACCCTGTAGCATTAACCGAGACGGTACAACTGCTCACGAAAAATAAAACAGATGATGGTGATGCAGGTGTCATATTTTTTGTATTTATTTTCGGAATTTGTTTAAACATACTTACAAAAAATGAATGTGAAATCGAATATTATAAATGTAGGCTGATAATGTTGAAAGAGCAGACACTAGAGCAACACATTAAAAGCAATAATTTAGTTTTACATGTAGCAGGTTAACACTTAACAGTGTATGATTTTAAATTTCTCTACAATTGTAGGCATTAAAACTTTATTTGTATGTTGAACTCTTATCCTGAATGTCTGGAAACGAGTTTTGAGAGTATTCGATTTTTATTCAAGGAGGAAGTATTCGATTGTTTTGAGTTAAAAAGATGCATGTTTTACAAAACATCCGCCTGACGACAGTGAATGATAGTTCATAATCTATTTTATCTAATTTGATAACCTCAGAAGTCAAATTAAACGGTATGTGTATACAATTAACCCTTCATTAGTTTTGAATGTAAGTGGAGATGTACTTTGAATTGTAATTTGAAGCAGCAATATTCCTTCATCACCAGCATAGAGAGTTTTAATATCTCAGTTGATTCGATACGCAAGAGCATACTCTACGTATGAAAATTTTCTAAAACGAGGTAAATTATTGACAAACAAGTTGATAAACAAGAATATCAGCAGTCTCGTTTAAAGTCATCATTTCGTAAGTTCTGTGGTCCATACAATGACCTTGTCAGCAAATACAATTTATCATTGAGTCAAATGCTGACTGGCGTTTTTGTTAGTCCATTATTTATATATTGAATTGACGACGGATTGTTCCGTTAATTCCCGATCAGGACAAGAAGCACACGGCGGATGTGACCGGGCTGCAGGGAATGCTCACTCCTCCACGGTACCTGATCCCACCTCTGATGTTTTGGAGGTCCGTGTTTGCTCTGCTCTTATTTTGAATTGTTTTATGGACTTTTGATCTTTGACTGTTCCTTATCTCCATATGTTTTACCTAAATCTTATTCATTTAGAATAGTTCAGCATTGCAATGAAATGCTATCTTGTTAAATCATTAAACGGATAAAGTGAATTAAGCATTCATGCATATATCGTGTTTTTTTTTAATTGAATTAGCATACTATTTTTCAGCTGTTAATCCTCTTTTGTTTCTCTTAACTGAAAGAAAAGTTGCTGAAACATCTCGGAATTCATTCAGCCTAGATGATAATAATGTAAAATAGGTCTGTAGTTTCTAAGAGTGAACTTCATTAACAAGGTGAGGACGATGAAAGTTGCAAAGGTAAAAAGAATTTTCGATTCTTTATTTCGCTAGAGAGCCAAAAAGGATAACCCAATTACAAACAACATCGTTTCAGGGCCTCTTCATAGAAATAGTCTGGCTTTTTGCGACCGAACATTTACTCCCGAAAATCAGTTGTGAGGATTAAGTTCAAAGTAATTCAGTTTTGTTATAATTATCACAGGTCTAGGTATGAGAAAAGCCGACGTAACGTTCACCCAATTAGCGTATATTCATCTCTAAAAATTTCAGAAAGTGTCTATCCATTTTAGATCTAGTTATATATGTAACATTGACACTGAATCATTAAGGCTGAACTGTGTTATGTACAGACTGGACAATAAGCCAAAATAAAAGTCAAATAGTCAAACTCTAATCGAATGAGCTCATCAAAAAAAAAAAAAATCGGTTGCCCTCTAAAACCGAAAAATTACTCGAAAACTTTTTTAACCACCAGCAAAAAATATTAAAAGTCAGTGGAGAAGAGACAAAAATTTTCTGTAAAATACATTTCTATCTACCTATACCGACCCAAACTTTTCTTCCCAAGTAGGGAAAGGACAAACAAACATTATCTTAGTGTCGACCCCATAACGTATTTTTTTAAAGAGGAAAAATAAAAGCAGATTTAACACGGGGCTGTTTTTTTTAACTTGAAAACATATATTTTTAACTCATGTGGTAGGTGTTAAAAATGATTTGCTCTATTTTTTTTTTCAACAGACCTGAAACTACTTAAAAATAATTATTCCTCCCTGTTAATGAACGACCTTGACCTTAAATATTGATGCATCATTTCTGTGGCATACTTTCCCTTCTGATGACCCTGTTAAGTTGATCTCTAATCGTTGAAACATACATCTGATAATTTTATATGGCTACATAAATAAGGAACATTAAAGAAAGAAAAGTTAAAGCAAACATGTTTATCGAAATTTTTGTTGTCAGTCTGCCATCAATAATACCTAGCTATGTAGGAGCAGGGAGGGCATACAGACTCTGCTGCCATAATTTCGATTTCAGTGAAATGGGAAAAAAAAAACAATGTCAGAATAAAAATATATCTTGTTAATTGAC